TCACTGGTGGTGTTGGCCGTGAGCGGGAATCGAAACCCGGGTCGCCGGGTTCGTGGCGCTAAGCGCTGCACCACCGCTCCCCAATGAAAAGACAAAGATCCCCCGTGTAGCTTTAACAGACTGTAGGGGCAAGTGCTGTTAGCGAGCAGAACCTATGAAGGCCGGAACGGCACACGAGGGGGTGGGTGGCCAGCACCACGCCCGACCGCCTTTGTCTCCCCAGTGGCGATTATTACACGCACTGCACCAGCTACTCATTTGAGGCCGAGTCGACCTAGGGGAGGCCCGGGACCGGTTCAAATAATCGTCGCTGGCGTTGGCCGTGAGCGGGAATGGAAGTCGGGTCGCGGGGTTCATAGCGCAGCGCTAACAACTATACTGCCGCTCCCCATTCAACATACACAACGCGCACACACGCACACACACACACGCACACACACACACACAGCACAACACACACAGCACACACACACAGCACACACACACACACACACACAGCAGCACACACACACACACAGCACACACACACAGCACACACACACACACAGCCACACACACAGCACACACCACAGCACACACACCACAGCACACACCACAGCACACACACACACAGCACACACCACAGCACACACACACACACAGCACACACACAGCACACACACACACACACACAGCACACACAGCACCACACACACACAGCACACACACACAGCACACACAGCACACACACACAGCACCACACAGCACACACACAGCACACACATCACACACACACACCACACACACACACACACCACACAACACAGCACACACAGCACACACACAGCACACACAGCACACACACACACACAGCACACACACACACAGCACACCACACACAGCACACACAGCACACACACAGCACACACACACCACACCACACACAGCACACACACAGCACACACAGCACACACAGCTAGTACACACACACACAGCACACACAGCACACACAGCACACACAGCACACACACACACACAGCACACACACACACACACAGCACACACAGCACACACACAGCACACACACACACACAGCACACACACACACACAGCACACACACACACACAGCACACACACAGCACACACACACACACAGCACACACACACACAGCACACACACAGCACACACAGCACACACACACAGCACACACAGCACACACACACAGCACACACACACAGCACACACACAGCACAAACGTACAACACCACGAAGCGGCGGTGACGTCACCACGGCGCTGGTGCCATGCCAGGTGCACGTTGAACTTACACGCTCACTACCACCCCCTGTTCCGATGACCCCCATTCCGTTCTGACGACGACGCACGTGTGAACAAGAACAACAAGAAGAACAACAACAACAATAACAACAAGGGACAGACGACAGAGAGACAGAGAGAGAGAAACAGAGAGCGAGCGTAGGGGCAGGGCACCTCCTTGCGGGCGATGTGTCGCTCCGACTTGACGTGCTCCTGCACGCAGCTGGGGTCGAGCGGCACGAACACGTCACACGCCAGGCAGTGGGACAGCGACACCTGGCGCAGACACAGGTCCGGCTGCACGTCTGCAGAGAGACAGGGAAACACGGGGAATGAGGGGGGGGGGGGCACGGAGGGGGAGACACGGAGGGGGAGACACGGGGGGGGAGACACGGAGGGGGAGACACGGGGGGGGAGACACGGGGGGGGGAGACACGGGGGGGGGGAGACACGGGGGGGGGGGAGACACGGGGGGGGGGAGACACGGGGGGGGGGGGAGACACGGGGGGGGGAGACACGGGGGGGGAGACACGGAGGGGGAGACACGGGGGGGAGACACGGGGGGGAGACACAGGGGGGGGAGACACGAAGGGGGAGACACGGGAGGGGGAGACACGGGGGGAGAGACACATGGGGGGAGACGGGGGGGGGGGGAGACACAGAGACATGGTAAGCCAGCATTCGTGTAAGGATTTGAATGTCGAAGAACTACTACATTGCCTTGGCAACTTACACGGAGACCCATAGACTCACACAGAGACTCAGAGACCCGTAGACTCACACAGAGACCCACAGACTCGCACAGAGACCCATAGACTCACACAGAGACCCGTAGACTCACACAGAGACCCGTAGACTCACACAGAGACCCGCAGACTCGTACAGAGACCCGTAGACTCACACAGAGACCCGTAGACTCACACAGAGACCCGTAGACTCACACAGAGACTCAGAGACCCGTAGACTCACACAGAGACCCACAGACTCGCACAGAGACCCATAGACTCACACAGAGACCCGTAGACTCACACAGAGACCCGCAGACTCGCACAGAGACCCGTAGACTCACACAGAGACCAATAGACTCACACAGAGACCCATAGACTCACACAGAGACAGAGACTCACACAGAGACTCAGACACCCGTAGACGCACACAGAGACCCGTAGACTCACAAAGACTCAAGCTCACACAGGGTCCACACGTACATAGAGACCCATAGACTCACAGAGACCCATAGACTCACACAGAGACCCATAGACTCACACAGACCCACAGACTCACACAGAGACCCGTAGACTCACACAGAGACCTGTAGACTCACACAGACCCACAGACTCACACAGAGACACGTAGACTCACACAGAGACACAGACTCACACAGGGTCCACAACGCTCGCTCACCCTTCATGGGGAGGCGTCCGTCAGGGATGTTCATCTGTTGGCGCCGTTTGGACATTCCGCCGATTCTTGTGAACGGTGCACTCCTGCCAGCAACATCACCACCACCATCAGCACCAGCATCAGCACCATCACCACCATCAGCAACATCACCACCACCATCAGCAACATCACCACCACCATCAGCAACATCACCACCATCATCAGCACCATCACCACCATCAGCATCATCACCACCATCAGCAACATCACCACCACCATCAGCACCAGCACCACCAGCACCACCATCAGCAACATCACCACCACCATCAGCACCACCACCACCATCATCAGCAACATCACCACCAGCAGCAACATCACCACCACCATCACCACCATCATCACCACCACCATCACCACCATCATCATCATCACCACCATCACCACCATCATCATCATCACCACCATCACCACCATCATCATCATCACCACCATCAGCAACGTCAGCAACATCACCACCATCACCACCAGCATCGCCACCACCATCACCGCCACCACCACCACCATCACCACTACCATCAACGTAAACACATCATCACAGCATCGTCATCAACACCGCACAGTGGAGCATCGCTCCTGGTGCGGTGCGGTGCGCTCCTCAAATAATCATTCCCGATTCTGACTGCGAGCTTGGCCGGGAGGAGGGAGTGGAGGTGGGGGGGGGGGGGGGGGGTCCCTCACGTGCAGGAAGTCGACGACCCGCGAGTCGCTGGCGTGCGCCTCCCGCAGCAGGCCCAGGCTGCTGCTGTGCAGCTCCCCGCCGTAGTGCTCCTCCATCTCGGCGTGGTGCAGCGTGCGGAACGAGCAGAGCGCGCAGTGCAGCGTCAGCCTGCGCCGCCACCGCCGCACACGCAGAGACACGCCGCGCAGAGAGACACGTCGCGCACAGACACGCACACAGATACGTCACACAGAGACACGCACACAGAGAGACACGTCACACACAGAGACACGTCACACACAGAGACACGCCCAGACCGTCGCCGTCCGTTACTGTCACCACGCGCAAGCAACACACACACACCCCGCACGCACACACACCACGCACACACACCCCGCACACACACCCCTCCAACACACCACAGCCAACGCACACACCACACGCACCATACCACTCGCACACCACACGCACACCACACACACACCACACGCACACCACACGCACACCACACACACACCACACGCACACCACACACACACCACACACACACCACTCGCACACCACACGCACCACACACCACACAGCACACCAGTCGCACACCACACACTGGACCAGCGTCAGCTGAAGGTATCTAAGAGGCAGCTCTGTGACATCCGCTTGTGCGGGCCGCTGTGCCACCAATGGGAGTGCTCCCCGGCCAGACCATCACTCACCAGTTCTTCTCAGGCACCTCACTACCACGCCGGCCCTCATCTGCAACAAGACACGGCGCTCCGTTCAAACCCCCACACCGCTCTAGCCAGGGGGAGGGGGGGGGGAGGAGGGAAGGAGGGGGGGAGGGAGAGGAGGGAGGAAGGAGGGAGAGGAGGGGGGGGAGGGAGAGGGGATGGAGGGAGAGGAAAGGGAGGGGGGGGAGAGGGGAGGGAGAAGAAGGGAGGGAAGGGAGGGGAGGGAGAGAGGAAGGAGGGAGAGGAAAGGGAGGGAGAGGAGAGGGGAGGGAGAGGAGAGGGGAGGGAGAGAGGAAGGAGGGGAGGGGGGGGAGGAGGGAGGAGGGGAGGGAGAGGAGAGGAGAGGGGAGGGAGAGAGGAAGGAGGGGAGGGGGGGGGGAGGGAGGAGGGGAGGGAGAGGAGGGGAGGAGGGAGAGGAGAGGGGAGGGAGAGGAGAGGGGAGGGAGAGAGGAAGGAGGGGAGGGGGGGGGGAGGGAGGGGAGGGAGAGGAGGAAAGGGGGGGATGGAGGGGAGGGAGAGGGGATGGAAGGAGAGGAAGGGGAGGGGAGGGAGAGGAGGGAGGGGGGGGGAGGGAGACGAAGGGGAGGGGAGGGGGGGGAGGGAGAGGAGGAGGGGAGGGAGGGGAGGGGAGCTGCTGGTGTTAATGTAAAATCGAGTGACAGAAACAACATGGATTTAGGGCGATTATTGCTCAAAATTAAACACACACAAAGACAAAGACCCCCCGTGTAGCCTTAACAGGCTGTCGGGGCAAGCGCTGGTGGAGAACTAGCACCTATGAAGGCCGGCACAGCACACGAGGGGGTGGGTGGCCGGTGTTTACCACAGATCGCATCATTTGAGGCTGAGTCGACCAAGGGGGAGGCCCCGTGACCGGTTCACACACGGACACAAAACTATTGGCCAAACATCCCACCGTTGAAATATCTCACCGTCAATTTGACTCAATTGGGGTCACAACAGCAGCAGCAGCAGCAGCAGCAAGTCTGGCTGTCGCCTGATGAAGCTAGTTGTAATTACCGGCGAAACGTCGTACACTCAGACTGTAAATGTTGTGGCTTGGCTCTCCAATAAACTGGTGTGCTGTACTAGTATACTACACTATACACTACACTACTATACACTACTGTACACTATACACTACTATACTTAATACAATACACTATACACTACACTACTATACTACTATACACTACTATACACTACACTATACTATACACTACACTATACTATACACTACACTATACTATACACTACACTACTATACACTACACTACTATACACTACTGTACACTATACACTACTATACTTAATACAATACACTATACACTACACTACTATACTACTATACACTACTATACACTACACTATACTATACACTATACTATACACTACACTACTATACACAATACACTACACTACTACACTACTCTACACACTACACTATACACTGCACTACTATACACTACACTATACACTACACACTACACTACACACTAGTGCTGTACTAGTGACGAATTGGCACGTTCTGTTTACGTGACAACCCTCACTAGTTGGCTGTCGCGCGTGGTGGCGAGTTTTAACGACACATTTATATATTTACGCGATCCAACCCTCCCAAAAAAACCACTCTATTATAGCAGCAGCAGCAGCAACTTGTAGATATGAACCCCTCCCCGCACGGCAAAAACTTGGCAGGACGCTCCTGAAACTCGAGTCCTGGGACTCGGTGGAGCCCGTGCCGGGTGAATGAGCGGAGCGCCAACAAACTCACCACCACGCGGGCCTGGCACGCCACCAGAGGACGGCGGCACCTGCAACAGCCACGGAGATTCAACAAGGCACGCAGCACCACGCACGCAGCACCACGCACGCACGCGCACCATATACGCACGCGCACCATACACGCACACACACACACCACGCACACCACACACGCGCACCGCACGCACACCACACACCAGCACACACACGCACGCAGCACGCACCGCACGCACCACAAACACGCAGCACCCACGCACGCAACACGCACCACACACACACACGCACGCACACACACCATGCACGCACACACACCACGCACGCACCACACACACACCACACACACACATCACACCACACACACATCACACCACACACATACCACACACACACGCACCACGCACGCACCACACACATGCACGACGCACGCACCACGCACACACACCACACGGAGGCACCGCACGCAGCACGCACCACACACGCACCACACGCACGCACCACGCACACACATGCACCACGCACGCACCACGCACACACACACAAACACCACACGCACCACACACGCACCACACGCACGCACCACATGCGCACCACACACAGAGTGTGTGTGAGTAAACGTGTCCGTGCTGGGTTGATGAGAGCGTGAGTGAGCGAGTGGTAGAGTGAGCGAGTGGTAGAGTGAGAGAGAGAATGAGTGGCTGAGCGAGTGAGAGTGAACGTGTGTTAAGTGTCATTTAACAAAGGCAGTGGCTGACACTGGGTCATGGGCAGAGGGTTAACGGAGGTCATCACAGGGGTCAGGGGTTCCTCACCAAAAGTGTCATCTTGCCTCCTGCAAACACTGCGGAGTGACACGCACACATGCGTACACACACGTGTACACACACACACACAGGTCAAAGCGCAGCAATTGGGTCAATCCCAGTGTGAAGTGGTGTGCGGGTGAGTGGGGTGTGTGGGTGAGTGGGGTACAGGTGAGTGAGTGGTGTGTGGATGAGTGAGTGGGGTGTGGGTGAGTGGGGTGCAGGTGACTGAGTGGTGTGTGGGTGAGTGAGTGAGTGGGGTGTGGGTGGGTGAGTGAGTGAGTGGGGTGTTGATGAGTGAGGTGCGGGTGAGTGAGTGGTGTGTGGGTGAGTGAGTGAGTGGGGTGTGTGGGTGAGTGGGTTGCAGGTGAGTGAGTGGTGTGTGGGTGAGTGAGTGAGTGGGGTGTGTGGGTGAGTGGGGTGCAGGTGAGTGAGTGGTGTGTGGGTGAGTGAGTGAGTGAGTGGGGTGTTGGTGAGTGGGGTGCGGGTGAGTGAGTGGTGTGTGGGTGAGTGAGTTAGTGGGGGGTGGGTGGGTGAGTGAGTGGGGTGTGGGTGAGTGAGTGGGGTGTGTGAGTGAGTGAGTGGGGTGAGTGTGTGAGTGGGGTGTGTGGGTGAGTGAGTGGGGCATGTGGGTGAGTGAGTGGGGTGAGTGAGTGGCGTGTGGGTGAGTGAGTGGGGGTGCGAGTGAGTGAGTGGGGTGTAGGTGAGTGAGTGGGGTGAGTGTGTGAGTGGGGTGTGTGGGTGAGTGAGTGGGGCATGTGGGTGAGTGAGTGAGTGAGTGGTGTGCGGGTGAGTGAGTGGGGTGTGGGTGAGTGAGTGGGGTGCGGGTGAGTGAGTGGGTGTGGGTGAGTGAGTGAGTGGTGTGTGGGTGAGTGGTGTGTGGGTGAGTGAGTGGGGTGTGGGTGAGTGAGTGGTGTGTGGGTGAGTGGGGTGTGTGGGTGAGTGAGTGGGGGTGTGGGTGAGTGGGGTGTGTGGGTGAGTGGGGTGCGGGTGAGTGAGTGGGTGGGGTGTGTGGGTGAGTGGGGTGAGTGTGTGAGTGGGGTGTGTGGGTGAGTGGGGTGCGGGTGAGTGAGAGGGTGGGGTGTGTGGGTGAGTGGGGTGAGTGTGTGAGTGGGGTGTGCGGTGAGTGAGTGGGGCATGCGGTGAGTGAGTGGGGGTGAGTGAGTGGGGGTGAGTGAGTGGCGTGTGGGTGAGTGGAGGTGCGGGTGAGTGAGTGGGGTGTGCGGTGAGTGAGTGGGATGTGGGTGAGTGGGGCGTGTGGGGTGAGTGAGTGAGTGGGGTGTGGGTGAGTGGGGCATGTGGGTGAGTGAGTGGGGGTGAGTGAGTGGCGTGTGGGTGAGTGAGTGGAGGTGTGTGGTTGAGTGAGTGAGTGAGTGGGTGAATGAGTGGGGTGTGGGTGAGTGAGTGGGGTGTGTGATTGAGTGGGCTGAGTGTGTGAGTGGGGAGCAGGTGAATGAGTGGGGCGTGTGGAGTGAGTGAGTGGGGTGTGGGTGAGTGGGGTGTGTGGGTGAGTGGGGTGTGTGAGTGAGTGGGGTGTGTGGGTGAGTGAGTGGTGTGTGGGTGTGTGAGTGAGCGAGCATGTGAGTGAGTGAGCGAGTAAGTACTTGAGCGAGTGAGTGACCACTTGAGCGAGTGAGTGACCACGTGAGTGAGTGAGCGAGTGAGCGAGCGGGTGAGTGAGCGAGCCACTGACCGTGGCCTCTGCGGGCCACCGTCTTCAGCAGCGGTGCGGGGCTGGGCGTGTGCCGAGGGCGTGCTCGCTTCGCCTGGGCGCCCATCTCCAGCGCCGCCGCCGGCGGCGTCGTCATCTTCCTCTTCACGGGCGGCGGCGGCATCGCGCCGGGACGCCCGAAGCCCAGGCGAGGCTGCGGGGCGGAACGGCGGCCCGTCAACGCTGAGGCCCGTCAACGCTGAGGCCCGTCAACACTGAGGCCGTCAACACTGAGGCCCGTCAACACCGAGGCCCGTCAACGCTGAGGCCCGTCAACGCTGAGGCCCGTCAACGTCGAGGCCCGTCAACACTGAGGCCGTCAACACTGAGGCCGTCAACACTGAGGCCGTCAACACTGAGGCCGTCAACACCGAGGCCCGTCAACACCGAGGCCCGTCAACACTGAGGCCGTCAACACCGAGGCCCGTCTACACTGAGGCCCGTCAACGCTGAGGCCCGTCAACGCTGAGGCCCGTCTACACTGAGGCCCGTCAACACTGAGGCCCGTCTACACTGAGGCCCGTCAACGCTGAGGCCCGTCAGCGCTGAGGCCCGTCAGCGCCCCTTGGCACCACCAACGAGGGGGGGCTGTGTGTGCTCTGTGGGATATCTGGAGGCGCACACGGCCCCACCCCTCGTTGGGGACCGGGCATAAAAGGAGAGCTCCCTGGACGATCATGGCCAGTTGTAGCTCAAGACCCAAGACCCAAGACCAGCCATCGGAGGACCCTGGGACGCTGTGAGGGCCAGTGGTGGGACTCTGGAACTCCCGACTCTACGACCTTGTGAGGGCGAGTTCCAGAGGGTAGCCAGAGGAGTGTATCTAGGCTGTGTACCTAGGCTGTGTACCTAGGCTGTAACAGAGTATCAGGACTGTTGGAGTGTTGGACTGTTGGAGTGCTGTATTGTAATAAAGAAGTTACCTCTACAAGTGTCTCCGGAACTCATTACGCGGCCGTCGCCTCGCGGCGCAAACAAAGGACCCGGGGGGGGGGGGAGGTGGGGGGCTCGATTGGCAACTCGGGCAGCTTTCTGCGTGCGGAGTTTGTATCAACTAAACTGCTAGCTCTTGATTTGTGGCTTTCGTGACTGCAGGGATCGATCCTCTCTGGTTCTTTCGGTAAAGTCACGTGGGTAGAAAAATAATAATGAAAGAAAACGAGACGTTTCGGTCACAACACAAGCGGCCGCCTGATGATGATGAGAGAGAGACACGCAAATTCCAAATATACAGTAGCAGGCGTCAGGGTCGGGATCGAACCCACGACCTCCTGCATACCAGGCGAGGTAGTTAGCATCTCCTAGCCACCATGATGATGATGATACCCGTACCCGGCCGGGTTTGGGTAGCCGGGTACGGGTATCAGGTACCCGGTTACGACCTCTGCGACACGCCAACAAGACGGGGAAGTTGGTGGGTGGCCAGCACCACGCCCGGCCGCATTTCCGCGCCGGGCACCCGTTTGAGGCCGAGTCGACCTAGGGGAAGGCCTCACCAGCAGCGGGTGGATCGAGATGGGAGCGCCGGGCACCATGCGTCCCGGCAGCAGGGACGGGAGGCGCTGGGGAGGCTGTGGGACGACTCCCATGAGCGGTGGAGCCCTGATGAGCGGCGGGCGAATTCCCACGGCGCGGTAGTGAACCGGCAAGGCACCGGCACCGCCGCCGCCGCCGCCGCGATCAAACGAGTCGTGCGGAGAGACGAACCTGTGCCGTAGCCACACAACGCACACGGTGAGCCCGCCCGTCCGCCACGTGGGGTCACCGGTACCTGCCGTAGTAGGTCGGGTCACGGCTAAGGGGTCTGCAGTGTGCTGTGAATACAATGAGCAGACTCAGCACTGCACCAGACTCAACACTGACTCAGCACTGCCCATAGACTCAGCACTGCACCACAAACTCAACACTGCACCACAGACTCAACACTGCCACCCATAGACTCAACACTGCCCCATAGACTTAGCACTGCCACCTATAGACTCAACACTGCCCCATAGACTCAACACTGCACCATCGACTCAGCACTGCACCATAGACTCAGCACTGCCACCCATAGACTCAACACTGCACCATAGACTCAGCACTGCACCAGACTCAACACTGCACCATAGACTCAACACTGCAACATAGACTCAACACTGCACCATAGACTCAACACTGCACCATAGACTCAACACTGCACCATAGACTCAACACTGCACCATAGACTCAGCACTGCACCATAGACTCAACACTGCACCATAGACTCAGCACTGCACCATAGACTCAACACTGCACCATAGACTCAGCACTGCACCATAGACTCAACACTGCACCATAGACTCAACACTACACCATAGACTCAGCACTGCACCATAGACTCAGCACTGCACCATAGACTCAACACTGCCCCATACACTCAACACTGCACCACAGACTCAGCACTGCACCATAGAATCAGCACTGACTCAACACTGCACCACAGACTCAGCACTGCCCATAGACTCAACACTGCACCACAGACTCAACACTGCACCATAGACTCAACACTGCACCACAGACTCAACACTGCACCACATACTCAACACTGCACCATAGACTCAACACTGCACCACAGACTCAACACTGCCCATAGACTCAACACTACCCATAGACTCAACACTGCACCACAGACTCAGACTCAACACTGCACCACAGACTCAACACTGCCCATAGACTCAACACTGCCCATAGACTCAACACTGCACCACAGACTCAACACTGCCCATAGACTCAACACTGCCTATGGACTCAACACTGCCCCATAGACTCAACACTGCACCATAATTCAACACTGCATCACAGACTCAACACTGCACCACAGACTCAACACTGCACCATAGACTCAACACTGCCCATAGATATTCTTAGGTTTTTTCGGTAAAGTCACGTAGGTAAAACATCAAAATTAATAAAAATAAAATAAAACAAAAATCACGACGTTTCGGAGGCATTCGGATTTTTGTTTTATTTTATTTTTATTAATTTTGATGTTTTACCTACGTGACTTTACCGAAAAAACCTAAGAATATGAATCCTTGCAGTCACGAAAGCTTCAAATCTAGAATTACTGCCCATAGACTCAACACTGCACCATAGACTCAACACTGCCCCACAGACTCAACACTGCCCCACAGACTCAACACTGCACCACAGACTCAGCACTGACTCAACACTGCACCACATACTCAACACTGCACCACAGACTCAACACTGCACCACAGACTCAACACTGCACCACAGACTCAACACTGCACCACTGCCTTGTTGGTTAAGACCGGAGTCCAATGGGGGGAAACTCACCGGTTTGGCGAAGGCAAGAGACCCCCGCGACCCATCGCCGGACTGCCCAGCACTGCAGGGTGACACAGCGGGAGAGTGAACGTGGCACCGGGACACAAGTGCATAGCGTGCAGCGTGTGCATATCACTGCGTCTCGAAGAGACTGCAGAGAAACCAGTGGGGCAGTCGAGTCTATGGAGTGTCTGTGTGTGTCTGTCGATACGTCTTTGTGTAAGTCTACGGGTCTGTCTGTGTGTGTGAGGCTATCTGGGGGGTCCTACGGTTTTGAATCCTTGCAGTCACGAAAGCTTCAAATCTAGAATTTTCCCTTCACGTTTAGAAACATGCGTTTACAGCGGCGGTTCTTGATTGATTCCAAGAACACAGGATGAGATGTTACTATCCTTTGTGCAAGCACTTCCAAGAGTTCAAGAACAGTGAGCCTGGTGAAATTTGGGGAGCGCATCGTCATCAGTGTACCTTTGGTTCCTAGGGTGTTTCGGCCTTTCACACTATACACCCTCCCCAAAGGCGGCCAGCGACAGGGTGATCAATCCTATGCTTGCGTCCCATTCCCAATTAGTCATAGGAGTTGCCTTGTTGTTGACACCGGGACACAAGTGCATTGCGTGCAGCGTGTGCATATCACTGCGTCTCAAAGAGACTGCAGAGAAACCAGTTGGGCAGTCGAGTCTATGGAGTGTCTGTGTGTGTCTGTCGATACGTCTTTGTGTAAGTCTACGGGTCTGTCTGTGAGGCTATCTGGGGGGTCCTACGGTTTTTCCCGTTCACACTCATAGTTTTTTCACACTTTTAGTTTTCTTAAACTAAGAATATGAATCCTTGCATTCACGAAAGCTTCAAATCTAGAATTTTCCCTTCAAGTTTAGAAACATGCGTTTACAGCGGCGGTTCTTGACCTTTATTGCAGCCTTGCAGCCCCCTTTGATTCTCAAACGTAATAAAAAAAAAAGTAGCTGTACTCACATGCCCATGCTTAATTCGTGTTTGGTGATTTAACTTAAAAAAAAAATGTATTGCCATGTCTCGCACCCCACGTTAAGAAGAACCACCGCTGGTCTTCTTGGTTCTTTCGGTAAAGTCACGTAGAAGGGAAATAATAAAATAATAAAAATACAACATGATAAAATAATTCTCACGACGTTTCCACTGGTTTATGGTATTTGGCTGCGAAACATTTCCCACGTGCTAAGCCACTTCGTTGAGCTATCATTTGTGGCCAGGTAGCTTCTGATAAATACCTACATAGCTCAGTGGGTGTTACCTGGCAAATAAAAAAGTGTTTTTATCGGTCTCTGTGTGACGCTATGGACCTCTCTACGTATGAGTTTCTATGTAAAGTCATATCTCTGAGTCTATGGGTCTCTATGCGAGTCTATGAGTCTCTGTGTGAGTCTACGGGTCTCTGTGTGAGTCTGTGGGTCTATGTGTGGGTTTACGGGTGGACACGTGAGTCTATGAGTCTCTGTGTGAGTCTGTGGGTCTCTGTGTGAATCTATGGGTCTCTGTGTGAGTCTATAGGTCTCTGTGTGAGTCTATGAGTCTCTGTGCGAGTCTATGGGTCTCTGTGTGAGTCTATGAGTCTCTCTGTGAGGTTATGGGTCTCTGGGTGAGTCTGTGGGTTTGTGCGAGTCAGTGGGTCGATGTGTGGGTTTACGGGCGGACGCGTGAGTCTATGGGTCTCGGTGTGAGTCTCTGTGTGAGTCTATGGGTCTCTGTGTGAGTCTATGAGTCTCTGTGTGAGTCTACGGGTCTCTGTGTGAGTCTCTGTGTGAGTCTATGGGTCTCTGTGTGAGTCTTTGTGTGAGTCTATGGGTCTCTGTGTGAGTCTCTGTGTGAGTCTATGGGTCTCTGTGTGAGTCTATGAGTCTCTGTGTGAGTCTACGGGTCTGTGTGAGTCTCTGTGTGAGTCTATGGGTCTCTGTGTGAGTCTATGAGTCTCTGTGAGTCTACGGGTCTCTGTGTGAGTCTCTGTGTGAGTCTATGGGTCTTTGTGTGAGTCTCTGTGTGAGTCTATGGGTCTCTGGGTGAGTCTATGGGTCTCTGGGTGAGTCTGTGGGTTTGTGTGAGTCAGTGGGTCGATGTGTGGGTTTACGGGCGGACACATGAGTCTATGAGTCTCTGTGTGAGTCTATGAGTCTCTGTGTGAGTCTATGGGTCTCTGGGTGAGTCTATGGGTCTCTGTGTGAGTCTATGGGTCTCTGTGTGAGTCTATGGGTCTCTGTGTGAGTCTACGGGTCTCTGTGTGAGTCTCTGTGTGAGTCTATGGGTCTCTGTGTGAGTCTCTATCATAGACGCCCCCCCCATGAGGGACTCACTGGGGAAGCGGGGACTCAGGAGCGCTGCTCTCTTATGCAGGCCAGGGATGAGGGGGGGGATCGCTGATCCAACTGTACACAGCACAAGCAGATTCGTGAATACTGGCAGCAGTAGCATCATCATCAGCAGCAGTAGCATCATCAGCAGCAGCAGTAGTAGCATCATCATCAGCAGCAGCAGTAGCATCATCATCATCAGCAGCAGTAACATCATCATCAGCAGCAGTAGCATCATCAGCAGCAGAAGTAGCATCCTCATCAGCAGTGGCATCAGCATCATTAGGCAGCAAGAGCAGTTTAAACAGTAGCATTAGAGGCATCAACAGCAGCATCAGAAGTTGCAAGAGAATCAATATGCATGTTAAACTTCTTTCACACCGTACGTAGCCAACCGTGTTAATCGCAGCAGTAAGAACAGTACTAAAGTAAACATTTTGATTTTACCAGGCACGGCCCACTGAGCTATGTAGCTCTTGTTCAGAAGCGACCTGGTCACAAATGATAGCCCAATAAAGTTGATTATCAGGTGGAAATGTATAGCAGCAAGGCAGTCTAAAGGCGCGTTTCTAAATGTGGTGGGGAAAACCCGGAGGACCCGGAGAAAAATCCACGCGACCACGAGGAGAGAGACACGCAAAATCCAAATAAACAGCAGCAGGCATCAGGGTCGGGATCGAACCCACGACCTCCTGTATACCAGACGAGGTAGTTAACATCTCCTCGCCACCGTGATGATGATGAGAGACACGCAAACTCCAAATATACAGCAGCAGGCATCGTCAAGGTCGGGATCGAACCCACGACCTTCTGTAGACCAGGCGAGGTAGTTAACAGCTCCCAGCCACCGTGATGATGATGAGAGACTCAAACTCCAAATATACAGCAGCAGGCGTCAGGGTCGGGATCGAACCCACGACCTCCTGCACACCAGGCGAGGTAGTTAACATCTCCCAGCCACCGTGATGATGATGAGAGACACGCAAACTCCAAATATACAGCAGCAGCAGGCATCGTCAGGGTCGGGATCGAACCCATGACCTCCTGTACACCAGGCGAGGTAGTCAACATCTCTCAGCCACCGTGATGATGATGATGAGAGACTCAAACTCAAACTCCAAATACACAGCAGCAGGCATCAGGGTCGGGATCGAACCCACGACCTTCTGTAGACCAGGCGAGGTAGTTAACAGCTCCCAGCCACCGTGATGATGATGATGAGAGACTCAAACTCAAAATATACAGCAGCAGGCATCAGGGTCGGGATCGAACCCACGACCTCCTGTATACCAGGCGAGGTAGTTAACATCTCGCTACCGCAAGATAGCCAGTAGCAAGATCATCATAGGCAGCAGCAGCAGCATTAATAGAACCAGCATCATAAGCAGGCAGGCATCAGCAGCAGTGCAAACGGGAGAAGCGTCATCATGCGATAACAATCATCAGAACCGCAATCCGCACTAAATACCCCCCCCCACACTACCTTTATCCCAACCCCCCCAAAAAACACGTTCCAATATTCACCATCATATCAATCAAACCAAAACCGTCATAATATAATAACGAGATCATTCGTGATCACCTCCATCATCACAGCAACCACAACCACCACCATTACCTCAATAATCACCACCATGACCTCAATAATCACCACCATTGCAATCACCACAATCACACCATCATCAACACCACCATTACCTCAACAATCACCACCATTACCTCAATAATCACCACCATTGCAACCACCACAACCACACCATCATCAAAACCACCGCCACCACATAACAATCAACATCATAATATCGATTTAACGCCGTAGAATTTCTCCGGCGTACAAAGCCCTCCCTCCACAACACCACCACCACCAAACCCAACAGATTCACCACCACCAAACCCAACAGATTCACCACCACCACCAAACCCAACAGATTCACCACCACCACCAAACTCAACAGATTCACCACCACCACCACCAAACACAACAGATTCACCACCACCACCACCAAACACAACAGATTCACCACCACCACCAAACCCAACAGATCCACCACCACCACCACCAAACACAACAGATTCACCACCACCACCACCAAACACAACAGATTCACCACCACCACCAAACTCAACAGATTCACCACCACTACCAAACACAACAGATCCACCACCACCACCACCAAACACAACAGATTCACCACCACCACCAAACACAACAGATTCACCACCACTACCAAACCCAACAGATCACCACCACCACCACCAAACACAACAGATCCACCACCACCACCAAACCCAACAGATTCACCACCACTACCAAACCCAACAGATTCACCACCACCACCACACAACAGATCCACCACCACTACCAAACCAACAGATTCACCACCACCACCACCAAACACAACAGATTCACCACCACTACCAAACCCAACAGATTCACCACCACCACCACCAAACACAACAGATCCACCACCCCACCAAACCCAACAGATTCACCACCACCTACCAAACCCAACAGATTCACCACCACCACCACCAAACCCAACAGATTCACCACCACCACCACCAAACACAACAGATCCACCACCACCACCAAACCCAACAGATTCACCACCACTACCAAACCAACAGATCACCACCACCACCACCAAACACAACAGATTCACCACCACTACCAACCCAACAGATTCACCACCACCACCACCAAACAACAGATTCACCACCACTACCAACCCAACAGATTCACCACCACCACCACCAAACACAACAGATCCACCACCACCACCAAACCCAACAGATTCACCACCACTACCAAACCCAACAGATCCACCACCACCACCACCACCAAACACAACAGATCCACCACCACCACCACCAAACACAACAGATCCACCACCACCACCACCAAACACAACAGATTCACCACCACCACCAAACCCAACAGATTCACCACCACCACCAAACCCAACAGATCCACCACCACCACCACCAAACACAACAGATCCACCACCACCACCAAACACAACAGATCCACCACCACCACCAAACCCAACAGATCCACCACCACCACCACCAAACACAACAGATCCACCACCACCACCTAACCCAACAGATTCACCACCACCACCACCACCAAACCCAACAGATTCACCACCACCAAACACAACAGATTCACCACCACCACCAAACCCAACAGATTCACCACCACCACCACCACCAAACCCAACAGATTCACCACCACCACCTAACCCAACAGATTCACCACCACCACCACCACCAAACCCAACAGATTCACCACCACCAAACCCAACAGATTCACCACCACCACCAAACCCAACAGATTCACCACCACCACCACCAAACCCAACAGATTCACCACCACCACCACCACCAAACCCAACAGATTCACCACCACCAAACACAACAGATTCACCACCACCACCAAACCCAACAGATTCACCACCACCAAACACAACAGATTCACCACCACCAAACACAACAGATTCACCACCACCGCCACCACACACAACAGATCCACCACCACCACTACCACCACCACCAATGCAATCCCCTTCAAAGGCCTCCGAACCCTCTTTGCTGCCACATCCAGCGCTCCCGAACACAACGGGGTTCGTAACAAAACTGAATTATTTTATTTTAAATCTTTTTAAAGCCGTCGGCGTCTTCCCGCTCAACGCACCGCGGAGGGCCCCGACTACGGGGAATTGGAGCCTGCGGCTTTCCTAGCGCTCTCCCCCCCCCGCTACACACCCACCCACCCACCCACCAGCCTCCTGTACATCGAGGGCGATTCGCTGTAGTTCTCTTAACGAGGCGAGCCGCGAAGGGTTCTTAGCAAAGATGAGCGAGATAAATGAATAGGGAGTGGGGGGGGGGAGGCGAACGCGGTCAACACAACCACACAAACACACACAGAGACTCACCTCCGTGAGGGTTTGCCATCTTTGCTGGGGGTCTCGCGAGATTTGGGCTGGTGTGGGGAGGGGGGGGGGGGTGAAATCTCGCGATATCTCAGGCGAAGAACCACAAAGCCAAAGGTACGTCGGGTAGCCTTGGCGGTCTTTTGGGGACAAGTGCTGTTAGCGAGTAGCACTGTATGAACTACAAAGGTCACCCGTGTAGCCTGAACAGACTGTCAATGGAGATGAGTCCACGCACGGGTAGGAGGGAGCGAGATGGAACAGATGGAGATTAGTCCACGCACGGGTAGGAGCGAGATGGAACAGATGGAGATTAGTCCACACATGGGTGGGAGTGAGATGGAACAGATGGAGATTAGTCCACCCACGGGTAGGAGCGAGATGGAACAGATGGAGATTAGTCCACACATGGGTGGGAGTGAGATGGAACAGATGGAGATTAGTCCACGCACGGGTAGGAGCGAGATGGAACAGATGGAGATTAGTCCACACATGGGTGGGAGTGAGATGCAACAGATGGAGATTAGTCCACACATGGGTGGGAGTGAGATGGAACAGATGGAGATTAGTCCACACACGGGTAGGAGTGAGATGGAACAGATGGAGATTAGTCCACACACGGTGTAGAAGGGAGTGGGATGGAACAGATGGAGATTAGTCCACACACGGTGTAGAAGGGAGTGAGATGGAACAGATGGAGATTAGTCCACACACGTGTAGAAGGGAGTCAGATAGAACAGATGGAGATTAGTCCACACACGGTGTAGAAGGGAGTGAGATGGAACAGATGGAGATTAGTCCACACACGGTGTAGAAGGGAGTGAGATGGAACAGATGGAGATTAGTCCACACACGGTGTAGAAGGGAGTGAGATGGAACAGATGGAGATTAGTCCACACACGGTGTAGAAGGGAGTGAGATGGAACAGATGGAGATTAGTCCACACACGGTGTAGAAGGGAGTGAGATGGAACAGATGGAGATTAGTCCACACATGGTGTAGAAGGGAGTGAGATGGAACAGATGGAGATTAGTCCACACACGGTGTATAAGGGAGTGAGATGGAACAGATGGAGATTAGTCCACACACGGTGTATAAGGGAGTGAGATGGAACAGATGGAGATTAGTCCACACACGGTGTAGAATTTCGTGAGATGGAACAGATGGAGATTAGTCCACACACATTGCTATACCCGGCCGGGTACGGGTACTCGATACCCATACCCTACCCGTACCCGGCCGGGTATCGGGTAGGGTACGGGTATCGGGTACCCGGTTGCAACCTCTGGGATGAAGCCATGTTGCAGGCGCGGGTGGGTTGATTCTAGGAACTTGAATTGTGAGAAGAGACAAGACGTTGGGAAATGAGTGACAAACGGTGACTCACCAGTGACTCACGGCCTACCCGTACCCGGCCGTACCAGGGTCGCAAACGGGTACCCGGTACGGGTAGCCGGGTATCGGGTAGGGTACGGGTATCGGGTAGGGTACGGGTATCGGGTACCCGGTTGCGACCTCTGCACCGATGTGGTTAGCCACGGATGGGAATCGAACTCGGACCGTTTCCAGGTTCGCAGTGCAGTAACAACAACAAATCTTCTTGGTTCTTTCGGTAAAGTCACGTAGAAGGGAAAAAAATAATAAAACATTAAAATATTATTTTATTATGTTGCTGTTCGTGGGACGACGCTGCACTCTTCTTCATAAAATTATTTAATTATGTTAAATTTATATTTATTTTATTATTTCCCTTCTACGTGACTTTACCGAAAGAACCAAGATGAATCCCTGCAGTCACGAAAGCTTTAAATCGTGTTTTAAGATGTTCAGATGTTAAGCTTTTGTTAAGATGTTAAGCTTTTGTTAAGATATGTTCAGATATTCTTTCGGTAAAGTCACTTAGAAGGGAAATAAATTTTTAGTTATTTTTTATTATGTTTTATTTTTATTATGTTATTGTTTCCCTTCTACGTGGCTTTACCGAAAGAACCAAGAAGATGAATCCCTGCAGTCACGAAAGAAGCTTTAAATCGAAACAACAACAAAGTCTTGCGGCAGCAGCAGCAGCCGCGTTGGATGAAGAGACACACGCAGACCCACCACGTCTGCCATCGTCACGTATTTATTTCAACAAAATCAACAAACATCAAAAATAAGCACGGAACAGAACAACAACAAAAGGGTCAAAATTATTTTCTCAAGCGATTAAAAGAGTGGGGGGTGGGGTGGTGGTAGTGGTGGCGATGATGCTGATGATGCATCCGGTTAAGCGCATTTGAACACCGGCTTGCTGCAGAGGGTCGCGGTTCAACACCCAGAGGCAGCCCTGGTTAACGTGGAGTGACTCGCAAAATGTTTGATCGGAAAAAAATTCACTGCCGCGTCGTGCGGCTGCCGTTGGGTTCGTCTCGAGCCGAGTCTCAAGACGGTTCAGGAGAGGGTCCTGCCGAGTACCGCTGACATCAGTCATGCAGGCGGCATTCACCGGGGCGGCCGCTGTGCGTGTGATGACGCTGTGCGTGTGATGACGCTGTGCGTGTGCTGTGCGTGGGACGACGCTGTGCGTGTGATGACGCTGTGCGTGTGACGACGCTGTGCGTGTGATGACGCTGTGCGTGGGACGACGCTGTGCGTGTGACGACGCTGTGCGTGTGACGACTCTGTGCGTGTGACGACGCTGTGCGTGTGACGACGCTGTGCGTGTGACGACGCTGTGCGTGTGACGACGCTGTGCGTGTGCTGTGCGTGGGACGACGCTGTGCGTGTGACGACGCTGTGCGTGTGACGACGCTGTGCGTGTGACGACGCTGTGCGTGTGACGACTCTGTGCGTGTGACGACTCTGTGCGTGTGACGACGCTGTGCGTGTGACGACGCTGTGCGTGTGACGACGCTGTGCGTGTGACGACGCTGTGCGTGTGACGACGCTGTGCGTGTGACGACGCTGTGCGTGTGACGACGCTGTGCGTGTGACGACGCTGTGCGTGTGACGACTCTGTGCGTGTGACGACGCTGTGCGTGTGACGACGCTGTGCGTGTGACGACGCTGTGCGTGGGACGACGCTGTGCGTGTGACGACTCTGTGCGTGTGACGACGCTGTGCGTGTGACGACGCTGTGCGTGTGACGACGCTGTGCGTGTGACGACGCTGTGCGTGTGACGACGCTGTGCGTGTGACGACTCTGTGCGTGTGACGACTCTGTGCGTGTGACGACGCTGTGCGTGTGACGACGCTGTGCGTGTGACGACGCTGTGCGTGTGACGACGCTGTGCGTGTGACGACGCTGTGCGTGTGACGACGCTGTGCGTGTGACGACTCTGTGCGTGTGACGACTCTGTGCGTGTGACGACGCTGTGCGTGTGACGACTCTGTGCGTGTGACGACGCTGTGCGTGTGACGACGCTGTGCGTGTGACGACGCTGTGCGTGTGACGACGCTGTGCGTGTGACGACGCTGTGCGTGTGACGACGCTGTGCGTGTGACGACGCTGTGCGTGGGACGACGCTGTGCGTGTGACGACGCTGTGCGTGTGACGACGCTGTGCGTGTGACGACGCTGTGCGTGTGACGACGCTGTGCGTGTGACGACGCTGTGCGTGTGACGACGCTGTGCGTGTGACGACTCTGTGCGTGTGACGACGCTGTGCGTGTGACGACGCTGTGCGTGGGACGACTCTGTGCGTGTGACGACGCTGTGCGTGTGACGACTCTGTGCGTGTGACGACGCTGTGCGTGTGACGACTCTGTGCGTGTGACGACTCTGTGCGTGTGACGACGCTGTGCGTGTGACGACGCTGTGCGTGTGACGACTCTGTGCGTGTGACGACGCTGTGCGTGTGACGACGCTGTGCGTGGGACGACGCTGTGCGTGTGACGACGCTGTGCGTGTGACGACTCTGTGCGTGTGACGACTCTGTGCGTGTGACGACTCTGTGCGTGTGACGACGCTGTGCGTGTGACGACGCTGTGCGTGGGACGACGCTGTGCGTGTGATGACGCTGTGCGTGTGATGACGCTGTGCGTGGGACGACGCTGCACTCATCATCAACTCCGAGCGAATCCCATCATGACCTCGCCGATGACGACGTCCCGCTCGGGATGGGACGTGTCCACCAGCGACAACCTCAGCTTGGGAGCTCGCCCCGCCGAGTTGCCCACCGCCCCGTCCACCCCGCCCCCCGCCCCGTCACCCTCCTCCTCCTCCACGAGCGCCACAAACGGCCGCCCCTCCACCAGCTTCCTGAACACCTGGGCCAGCTCCGGCGACCAGCGCCGGCGGGGGACGTCTGGGGGCGACAGCAGGAGGAACGGAGATGCACGGCAATCGGCGGGGGGGTGAGGGGCAGAGGTCGCAAACGGGTTTTGATTCCTTACCTGTACCCATACCCGGCCGGGTATCGGGTAGGGTACGGGTATCGGGTACCTGATTGCGACCTCTGGGATGGAGCCATGTTGAATTGTGAGAAGAGACAAGACGTTGGGAAATGAGTGACAAACGGTGACTTACCGGTGACTCAAGGCCTACCCGTACCCGGCCGTACCCGTACCGGTATCGGGTACCCGATTGCGACCTCTGGGATGAAGCCACGTTGCAGGCGCGGGTGGGTTGATTCTAGGAACTTGAATTGTGAGAAGAGACAAGACGTTGGGAAATGAGTGACAGCTACTCACCAGTGACTCACAGTCTACCCGTACCCGGCCGGGTTACGGGTAGCCGGGTATCGGGTAGGGTACGAGTATCGGGTACCCGGTTGCGACCTCTGGGGTGGTACCCGGAGGTGGGGGGGGCTCCCGGGGGGCCTCACCGGCGAGCTGGGCCAGGTGGGCCTGCACGGGCAGCCGGGTGAACGCCGGCACGAGGGGCCGCAGGGTTGACAGGGGGACGAGGTCCCACTCCCCGTAGTCCACCCGGTACACCATGGCCTTGCCCGGCGGGCACGCACACTTCAGCTCCACCCGGTACACCCTGAGGGAGAGCGACACGCGTCACCCTCGCCGCGTCACCCTCGCCGCGTGCTCACCACCACGTCACCCTCACCGCGTCCCCCTCACCGCGTGCTCACCACCACCACGTCACCCTCGCCGCGTCCCCCTCACCGCGTGCTCACCACCACCACGTCACCCTCGCCGGGTCCCCCTCACCGCGTGCTCACCACCACCACGTCACCCTCACCGCGTCCCCCTCACCGCGTGCTCACCACCACCACGTCACCCTCACCGCGTCCCCCTCACCGCGTGCTCACCACCACCACGTCACCGCGTGCACACCGACGTCACACACACGGCGGACGAGCGGAGACCCCGCGTCGCCGTGCCCCACCCACCGGTCATCCTGCACGCAGGCGACGAACGACGGCTCCGTCGCCACCACCACCTCCTCCTCCTCCACCTCTTCATCTCCCGCCTCCTCCGCCACGTCCGCCCACTCGTGGCCCCGGGAGCTCCAATAGTGGCGACACATCCTAGCCTCCAGCCGCTCCAGCCGGTGCAGCTGGCTCCAGGCCTGCACGGCGAACAGCGCCGGGTGCTCGGCGCTGGACACCAACACGTCCACGCAGCGCTGGCCGGGCGTGCCCGCCGGCGGCCAGGGGGACACCAGGGGGGCCGCCGGGGTCAGGCGTCCACCCCAGCTCCTGACCGCAGGGCAAAGGGCCACGGCGGACGGCTCCCTGCTGGGTGGACGGTCCATAGCGACCGGCACCCTGCTGAGTGGACGGTCCACGGCAACCGGCTCCCTGCTGGGTGGACGGTCCATAGCAACCGGCTCCCTGCTGGGTGGACGGTCCATGGCAACCGGCTCCCTGCTGGGTGGACGGTCCATAGCAACCGGCTCCCTGCTGGGTGGACGGTCCATGGCAACCGGCTCCCTGCTGGGTGGACGGTCCACAGCAACCGGCTCCCTGCTGGGTGGACGGTCCATGGCAACCGGCTCCCTGCTGGGTGGACGGTCCATAGCAACCGGCACCCTGCTGAGTGGAGGGGCCACGGCAACCGGGTCTCTGCTGAGTGGACGGTCCGTGGCAACCGGGTCCCTGCTGAGTGGACGGTCCATGGCGACCGGGTCCCTGCTGAGTGGACGGTCCATAGCAACCGTTACCCTGCTGGGTGGACGGTCCATGGCAACCGGCACCCTGAGTGGACGGTCCATGGCAACCGGCTCTCTGCTGAGTGGAGGGGCCATGGCGACCGGGTCCCTGCTGAGTGGACGGTCCATAGCAACCGGCACCCTGAGTGGACGGTCCACGGCAACCGGCACCCTGAGTGGACGGTCCATAGCAACCGGCTCCCTGCTGAGTGGACGGTGAGGTTGATCTCGCGCGCTCATCTTGGTGGAAGGCGGACAGTCAACCATGGCGGACCTGGAGATGAAAATGTAATGGTCAAGGTGGGTGGACTAGGAGATGCAAGGTTGATCATCAAGGTGGGTGGACTAAAAGATGCAAGGTTGATGGTGGACAACAACGGCAAACCTTAAGGAAGGTGATGGACTCCTGAGCAGATTCGTCCTCATCGGAGGCCTCATTTCCGGTGCCGCCAGGGTGGACACCTCCTCTCCCTGGGGGCGACCTTGCTGTGTCCACCAACGGTCACCACCACCGCCACCACCGCCACCACCGCCACCGCCGGTGAGTGTCCACCTCTGCAGGGCGAGCGTGATGGTGTCCACACTGGGGGGCGAGTGAGCGCGGGGCGCAGCGACGGTGGATGGGACGGACGACGCCGACGTCACCTGCGCAGGGTGGACAACGGCGAAGGACCGACGGTGGGAAGTGGGAGGGGTGAACAATCGCTTGGAGGTAGGTGGAGAGTCGATCATGGTGGACCTGGACATGGAAGGATGGTCCACAAATAGGTGGATTAACAGGAGGCCAACAGGCCAATAATGGTGGACTCAGCGATAGGAGGGTGATGGTCAATGTGGGTGGACTTGGAGATAGTAGGTTCATGGTGGACCAAGGTAGACGTGTTCCAGGAAGGTCCACCATGGAGCAGACATAAACAAGTATTAGGTTTGAAAAAAGATTGTTATTCCGTAAGTTTTTTAATTCTTTGTCAAAGATATTTCGGATGAGTGGGTGGTTGAGTGAGCGAGAGGGTGAGCGAGCGAGCGAATGAGTGAGTGAGGAGCGAGCGAGCGGTCAAGCGAGTGCTGCTGGAGAGTGAGTGGGTGGGTGAGTGATTGGGGGATTGGGTGATCGGATGAGTGAGTGGGTGAGTGGGTGAGCGAGCAGGTGATTGAGCGGGTGAGTGACTGGGTGGGTGAGCGAGCAGGTGAGTGATTTGGTGAGCGGATGAATGGGTGGATGAGTGAGCGAGTGGGTGAGCGAGCGGATGAGTGGGTGAGTGGGTGAGCGAGCGAGTGGGTGAGCGAGCGGATGAATGGGTGAGTGGGTGAGCGAGCGAGTGGGTGAGCGAGTGGATGAGTGGGTGAGCGAGCGAGTGGGTGAGCGAGCGGATGAATGGGTGAGTGGGTGAGCGAGCGAATGGGTGAGCGAGCGGATGAGTAGGTGAGTGGGTGAGCGAGCGAGTGGGTGAGCGAGCGGATGAATGGGTGAGTGGGTGAGCGAGCGAGTGGGTGAGCGAGCGGATGAGTGGGTGAGTGGGTGAGCGAGCGAGTGGGTGAGCGAGCGGATGAATGGGTGAGTGGGTGAGCGAGCGAGTGGGTGAGCGAGCGGATGAATGGGTGAGTGGGTGAGCGAGCGAGTGGGTGAGCGAGCGGATGAATGGGTGAGTGGGTGAGCGAGCGAGTGGGTGAGCGAGCGGATGAGTGGGTGAGTGAGCGAGTGGGTGAGCGAGCGGATGAGTGGGTGAGTGGGTGAGCGAGCGGATGAATGGGTGAGTGGGTGAGCGAGCGAGTGGGTGAGCGAGCGGATGAGTGGGTGAGTGAGCGAGTGGGTGAGCGAGCGGATGAGTGGGTGAGTGGGTGAGCGAGCGAGTGGGTGAGCGAGCGGATGAGTGGGTGAGTGGGTGAGCGAGCGAGTGGGTGAGCGAGCGGATGAATGGGTAAGTGGGTGAGCGAGCGAGTGGGTGAGCGAGCGGATGAGTGGGTGAGTGGGTGAGCGAGCGAGTGGGTGAGCGAGCGGATGAATGGGTGAGTGGGTGAGCGAGCGAGTGGGTGAGCGAGCGGATGAGTGGGTGAGCGAGCGAGTGGGTGAGCGAGCGGATGAATGGGTGAGTGGGTGAGCGAGCGAATGGGTGAGCGAGCGGATGAATGGGTGAGTTGGTGAGCAAGTGAGTGGGTGAGCGAGCGGATAAGTGGATGAGTGGTTGAGTGAGCGAGTGGATGAGCGAGCGGGCGAGTGGGTGAGCGAGTGAGCGAGTGGGTGGGTGAGCAGCGAGCGAACCCCACGTGGAGCGGTAAGCGTGGGAGGGTGGGGGGTGGGGGGGGTACACGGCCCACACTGACCCGCATCGCTGGCTCCTTGGCTCTCACAGGGCTCCAGTTGATCGTGGGCACTGGGGGGAAAAAAAAAACATTGATTCTCGGTGTTAACAACAAAACCCACAGACTCAACGCTCACCACTCGATAACCCACAGACTCAACGCTCACCACTCGATAACCCACACTCACCACTCGATAACCCACAGACTCAACGCTCACCACTCGATAACCCAGACTCAACGCTCACCACTCGATAATGCAGACACACAACGCTCGCCACTCGATAACCCACAGACTCAACGCTCACCACTCGATAACCCACAGACTCAACACTCACCACTCGATAACCCACAGACTCAACGCTCACCACTCGATAACCCAGACTCAACGCTCACCACTCGATAACGCAGACACACAACGCTCACCACTCGATAACCCACAGACTCAACGCTCACCACTCGATAACCCACAGGCCCAACGCTCACCACTCGATAACCCACAGACTCAACGCTCACCACTCGATAACCCACACACACAACGCTCGCCACTCGATAACCCACAGACTCAACGCTCACCACTCGATAACCCACAGGCCCAACGCTCACCACTCGATAACCCACAGGCCAACCACTCACCACTCAAACCTTCAACGCCATGGCTGACCGAGGCTCTGTCGCGACGCTCAAGGCCTTGATCGTCCCCGTGCCTACCGGCGACAAGTGGAGATTAGTGCCTAAACCGTGACAAGTGGAAATCAGCACGAGCACAATCGCAGATGATGACGACGACGATGATGACGATGAAGACGATGATAACGATGATGATAACGATGATGAGGACGATAACGATGACGACGATGATAATAATGATGAATTAATTACGACAATTCAACACGTTCGTTCATTCGGTTCAGCAGATGACGAGGACGACGATAATGATGATGACGATGATGATAACGATGATGATGATGATGATGACGATGATGATAACGATGATGATGATGATAACGATGATGATGATGATAACGATGATGATGACGATGATGACGACGATGACGAATTAATTACGAACATTTGACACGTTCGTTCACTCGGTTCTGAAGATGACGACGACGATGACAATAATGACGACGATGATGACGACGATGACGTGAACGATGACGATGACGACGATGACAACGATGACAATAATGACGACGATGATGACGACGATGACGTGAACGATGACGACGATGACAACGATGACAATAATGACGACGATGATGACGACGATGACGTGAATGATGACGATGACGACGATGACAACGATGACAATAATGACGACGACGATGACGTGAACGATGACGACGATGACAACGATGACAATAATGACGACGATGACGACGATGACGTGAACGATGACGATGACGACGATGACAACGATGACAATAATGACGACGACGATGACGACGATGACGTGAACGATGACGATGACGACGATGACGACGATGACGATGACAATAATGACGACGACGATGACGTGAACGATGACGACGATGACGATGACAACGATGACAATAATGACGACGATGATGACGACGATGACGTGAACGATGACGATGACGACGATGACGACGATGACAATAATGACGACGACGATGACGTGAACGATGACGACGATGACGATGACAATAATGACGACGATGATGACGACGATGACGTGAACGATGACGATGACGACGATGACAACGATGACAATAATGACGACGACGATGACGACGATGACGACGATGACAATAATGACGACGACGATGACGTGAACGATGACGACGATGACGATGACAATAATGACGACAATGACGACGATGACGACAACGATGATGACGACGACGACGTGAACATGCCACCTGTCGCCGAGATGCCGACAAGGGGCGGGTGGATTTGCGGCGCCGTTGCAGTCGCCGCCGAAGTCCACGTCGCCAGCGGGAGCAGCAGCAGCAGGAGCAGCAGCAGCAGGAGGAGCAGGAGGAGGAGGCAGCGGAGGCTTGAACACCACCGTGGGAACCCGCCCTCTCGCGGACGGCGACGACGACGAGGAGGTCGTGCGAGGTCGCGAGTGGATCGAGGTCACGTGAGGCCGCGAGGAGTGGGGGGCGGCACTCCATCCGCGTCGCGCCGAGCCCACAATGCACTTCGCGTGGGCGCCCGCTGTAGCCACGGCAACCGCATGGGGGAGGGGGGGGGGGCGGAGGGGGGGGGCAGGAGATGGGGCAGTGGAGACGGGAGGGGGGGCAGGGCGAGAGGCAGAGGTCGCAACCGGGTACCCGATACCCGTACCCTACCCGAT